GACATGGCCAGGACAGGATTTCTATACTGCCCAAATTCCAACAATTCCAAACCAAACAAAAAGGGAGGAAAAAAGGAATTTAAGTTCCAGTAAGTTCTTCATTTATGAACAAATAAACTTATTTGACATGCCTAGTAAATTAGTGTTGATAACATGAAAATATTAATAAAATTCAAACTTCTGTGGTTTTTTGTAGCTCAAACATCAGCAGACATGAAATATTTAAACAGTTCTGCAGCCAAAAGAAGCTGCTGCAGACACTGGAATATTTATAGTGGAAGACAGGAAGACTCATGGTATTTGTGTTTCCATAAGACTGAGGAACCCTTTCCATCTTGGAACCAATCTAGAAATTATTTTTTCCTGCCAAAGTCTAACTTGGATAAGATCCTCTCCTTCACAAATGTGGAGCAGAAGCCATAGGAGGAGAAAACTGAGTTTCCACTGAGCAGAGAAGAGAGTCACAGCACAGAGAATGGGATTTTATTTTCAGAGTTGTATGATAAAAGCAATGGCCTTTTTGTAGAGTGTTGGAGAGAACAATCCAGCCCAATCTCATAGTTGCTACCTCTCAGGATTTTAATTTTCTAGACTTTTTTTTTCAGAAAGACCCTAAGACACAGACATTTACTGACCACCAAATATTGATGTGCTCCTTTACATTTCCTTGCCTTGTGGTTAGGTGGAATCATGTGGCTGGTTCCATGAAAAATGCAATGTTTCATTCCTAGGTTTAAGCATGTAAGAGTCGACCTGTGCTGTTGAAAGCCTTTCCACAAAGAAAACTCTGGGCCCAGTTGACTTCGTTCATAAATTCTGCCTAACATTTAAGGAAGAATTCACTCCAATTCTCATGAACTCTTAGAGAAAATTGGAGAAGAAGGAATATGTTCCTACTCATTCTAAGAGGCCAGTGTGATTCTGACAGCAAAACCAGACAAAGACTTACAAAAAAGAAAACTGTGGGCTGGGGTTGTGGCTCAGTGGTAGAGCACTTGCCTAGCTTGTGTGAGGCACTGGGTTTGAACCTCAGCATCATATAAAAATAAACAAATAAATAAAATCAAGATATTAAAAAAAAACTATGGCCAATTTCCCTCATGAAAACAGATATAAAAGTTCTTTAAATATTAGCAAATTGAATCAAATGGTATATAACATAAAAATTGTAATACATCATGATCAAGTGGAGTTTATCTTACGGACACAAACTAATTGTAGCATTGAAAATCCAACCAGTATAATTTACCACATTAGCAGATCAAAAAAAGAAAATCTTTAATTTGACATCTATTTCTGGAAAAAAATTCCAGCAAACTAAGACTAGAAGGAAACTTCCTGAGCCCAGAAAAGAATATTTCAAAAGAACTGCAGTTAATATTATATTTAATGGACTGGGGTTGTAGCTCAGTGGCAGAGCGCTTGTCTTGCAAGTGTGAGGGCCTGGGTTCGATCCTCAGCACCACATAAAAAAAATAAAGATATTGTGCCCATCTACAAGTAAAATAATTTTAAAAATATTATACTTAGTGGTGAAGATGGAATAATTTTTTTTAAGATCAGGATATCTACTCTTGCCACTCCTCTTTAAATGCCTTTTTTTTCTGGAGGTACTGAGGATTGAATCAGGGTTTTGTACATGCTAGGCAAGTGATCTACCATGGCACTACATTCCCAGCCCCACTCTTGCCACTTCTATGCAATACTGTACTGGATGTTCTAAAAAGTGAAATCAAGCAAGAAAAGGAAACAAAATGTATTTGGATTGAGAAGAAAAAAAGTAAAACTGACTATTCAAAGATGATGTAATTGTGTAGGAAATTGACTGGAATCTACTTGTAAAGTGGTTAGAATGAATAAGCAAGTTCTCTATACTATACATGCAATTGGAAATTGAAATTTTAAAATAATACCTTTTGCAACAGCATCAAATGTATGGAAGATTTATAGATAAATCTGGCTAAAGATGTGCATGATGTATATACTAAAAATCAATAAAACATTGTTGAGAGAAATTCAAGTTCACTGATGAGAATGCTCAATATTTTTAAAATGCCAATTCTCCCCAAACTGATCTATATGTTCAATTCAATACAAATAAAACTTTCAGTTGACTTTTTTTGGTGGAAATGAACAAATTAATTATAAAATGAATATGGGACTGTAAAGGACCTAAGGGAGAAAAATGACTTTGAAAATTTGGAAGACTAACACTCTGTGACTTCAAGATTCATTAAAAGCTACATAAATTAATATAGTGTGGTGTTGGCATAACTGTAGACCAATAAAACAATGAAACAGAAAGAAACTCCAGAAGTTGATTCATGTATTTAAACAATTTCTTTTCTTTTTCTTCTTCTTCCCTTATTTCTTCCCCGCCCCTTTCGGTCTTACTGGGGACTGAATAAGATCAATTGATCTCTGACAAAGATGCAAAGGCAATGCAGTGGAAAAAGGCTACCCTTTTTAACTAACCATACTATAACAATCAAGCATCCATATGCCAATAGAAAAACAACTTTGATCCAAATTTAGAAGGAAACAGAACAGAAAATCTCTGTGACCTTGGCAAAGATTCCTAGATATGACACCAAAAGCTCAATCCATAAAAGAAAAAATAATAATGTTAAGTAGACTTTATCAAAATGAAAACTTTTGCTCTTTGTAAGTCAGTGCTAGGAGAATTAAAAGATGAGGCGCAGATGGGAGAAATATTTTCAATTACATATCCACTATATATAAAGAACTACTAAAACCAATCATAATAAATAACTGCCCAAGTTTTTTTTTTCCTTTTGTACTTGGAATTGAACCTAGGGATGATGTAACATTGAACTATATCCTCAGTCCTTTTTATTTTTTTTTATTTTGAGACAGGGTCTTGCTAAGTTGCTTAGGGCCTTGTTAAATTGCCTAGGCTGGCCCTGAACTTGTGATCCTCCTGTCTCAGCCTCCTGAATTGTTGGGATTACGGACGTGCCACCATGCCCGGCTTTAACCCCTCAAAATATTGAATAGACACTTTAACAAAGTAAATATGCAAATGGCAAATAAGAGCAGAAACAATGTTTAACATCATTAGAGAAATTAAAATTAAAACCATAATGAAATATCACTAGATACCTACATTCTACATATATAGAATGGTTAAAATTTAAAAGAATGAGCACATATACCAATTGTTGGGGAAATATGGAGAATCTGAAATACTCCTACTTTTCTGGCAAGAATATTAAATGGCACATCCAAAAGATTTAGGTAGTTTCTTTAAAAAAAATTGACTACCCACTCACCATATGATACAGCCATCCCACTTGAAATAAAGCTAAGTGAATGAAATCAGACAGAAAGAGTATATACAGTATGATTCCATTAATATAAATTTTAGAACATGCAAACTAATCTACATTAAGAAAATCTTTTAGTGATTGCCTGGGGTAGGGGAAGAGATGGGTGGAAAAGAAAGAATACAAGGGGGTATAAGTAAACTTTTGGGAGTGACATATTTGTTCATCATATTAAGTATGGTGATAGTGTTACTATATGTCAAAACTTGTTCAACTGTGAACTTTAAATACTTGCAGTATATTATACTTCAGTTACATCTCAATAAAGCTCTTCTTCAAAAGTGGGGTAAAGATCAGATTAAATTTGTGGCTTTCACTAACTTCTTTCTTGCACAAAATTACTCAGGGAAAATTATGATTAGGATTATGGCTTTCTCTGTCTCTTGTAGACTCCCTCACCATGAAATCAAGAAAGAGAAAGAACATGGATTAACAAAGCAGCAATATATGTGCCAGGTCTGTTAACTATATCCCCCAAAGAACTATGGATGTGGCCACTACATGGAATTGACTGCAATTATATACTAAGAAGCCCTGGACTTAGGGCTTGCCTAGCATGCTCAAGATCGTGGGTTCAATCCCCTGGTATTATGGGGGTGGGGAAAAAGGAAATCATACCTTTTAGTAGGGACACTTTTAAAGTACACAATTCAGTGGTTTTCATTGTATTCACAAAACTATACAACCAATGCCACTAGTTGCAGAACAGTTTTATCATCTCAAAAAGAATCAACATACCAATTAGTAGTCACTTCCTTTTTCCCTCTTGTCCCAATCCTAGAAACCACGAATCTACTTTCTGTGTCTATGTCATTCAGGGACTTGGCTTCTATCATCTGGTGGTTTTCTCATTCTCTTTGGACCTTGGCATTCTATGGGCCTGAAATGGCTCATATAACTTCTGTCCACATTCCACTGACATTCAGTGACATGAGTCCAACATACTGTGAGGGAAGTTGGAAAATGCAGGCTAATTGTGAGCCCAGGAAGAGAATAAAATTGCCTTAACTCAACATTCTTACTCTCTATGCCATCCAAGTTAATTGTGCTTTCACAATTAACTGAATGAAGGAGTATGGAATATTATTTTATACTTGTTATAATTTAAAACCATTTTTAAAAAGACAAACAGCATAAAACAGTCACGTTTCCAAAGAATCCTCTACTTTGCTCTTGAGGTCTCTCTCTGGAGCATGGCTGTGAACTTTAGTCCTGCCCTGATGGACTCCAGGGTAGGCGGTCATGATTGTTTACACTGTGCCTTTCACGGGATACTTCTTTTTCATGGTGGACAGCCCCTGGGAACCCTCTCCCTCTCCTGCCTGCAGCTTCCCAATCCTAGTCTCTCTGATTTGCTTCAGGTTTTTTGACCCCTCCCCTCTCTTGCTCATCAGGTCCCAACTGCGGACCTCTAGCCCTCAGGCTCGCACCAGGTGGGCGGTGCCCTGGTCGCACTGCTCTCCCATTCAGCTGAGAGCGGTTTTTGCGCAGGGTAGTCCCTGTGCGCCTCTTGGCAGCTGGGGAGGGGGGCGGGGAAGGAAGGTGGGAACCAGGTGTCTGTTCAAGCTGAGGTCCAGGCTGAGAGCCACGCCCACCAAAAATGGCAAGAGAGGTTTTCCAACATGGAGTCGGTCTGCTTCCAGCGCTGGGGTGTCTGGTGAGGTCGGGGGAGCTGGGATGGCCTTGTGCTGTGGCTAGATTGCAGCCGTGTGGCCCGCCTGCGAGCGGCGCAGCTGATTAGGTGACTCTGTTACGCTGCTTGAGCGCGTGTGCACACTAGAACTGCGAACTTTGGTTCCAGAGTCCGGAGTCTTCCTGGAACACAGAGGCTCTGATTTCTGTGCAGCTGGTCGCAGCTCTGATGGTTTCTGCGAAAACCTGCTGTTTAGGGGTCCTGTCGCTCGCTCTGAGATGTTGCATTCTGTCTAGGTGAGACCTTGTGGAGACGTCCCCTGACTGCTTTCTTGGTTTAATTGCACAGAGCAACCAGAATCAGTACCTCCTCTATTCCACCATCTTGAATACTTCTCTCTCTTTTTTTAAATTTAGAGACAGGGTCTCCTGAGCTGCTTAGGACCTCGCTAAGTTGCTGAGGCTGGCCTTGAATTTGCCATCCTCCTGCCTTTGCCTCCAGAGCCACTGGGATTACAGGTGTGCACCACTGTAAATCACCTTAGTAGAATATCACTTTTCTAGTTAATTCTTTAACTGTCCTTTGCCCTGGCAATTTGTCTTTTTTAAGGCTCAGAAATATTCCATTACATAGACCTACTGTGCTTTGCTTTCCATTCACTACTGAAGGATATGTGGGTTCTTTGTAGGTGTTGTGGATTGTGAATAGAGCTGCTAGAAAATATTTGCATACTTTTTTTGTGTACTTAAGTTTTCCTTTCTCCAGGACAGTTTTTTTTTTGTTTTGTTTTGTTTTAACTTCAATATTATTAACACTTTGGGGTGGAGAATTCTTTTGTTTTGGGGGACTCTCCTGTGCATTATAGGGTGTTTAGTAGCATCCCCGGTCTCACCTCCCCAGATATCATTCTTTCCCTCCAAGTGTGACAACAAAAAATGTTTCTGGGTATTGTCAAATTTCCCCTGGGGTGTGGAAGGGGGAAAATTTCCCTGGCTGATACTACTTTAGTGTGAACCTGCTAGTGACAAATGCCATCTATTATCTTAAAAAAACTTAGATCTAACATTTCTGAAATTATGTTTCTCTGGATATAGAATTCTAATTTGGAAATCGGGTATGGTGGTACACCTCTGTAATTCCAGCTACTCAGGAAGTGGAGGCAGGAGGATTGCAAGTTTGAGCCCAGCCTGGAAAATTTAACAAGACCTCATCTCAAAATTTTAAAAAAGGGGCTGGGGATGTAGGTCAGTGGTAAAATGGCTTGTGTTCAATATCCAGTACCTGTCCCTCCCCCAATCTTATTTTGGTTTATGGTTCTGGAGACTGGAAAGTTCATGATCAGGTGACCACTCTGGTGAGGGCTTTGTTTATCTCTCTATTCATTCTTTCTATGAATCTATTACTAAATCCATACATGGATGTCTTAATTTCATTGCTTATAATTAGTTATAGAAAGTTTTATAGCTTCAATATTTTACTAAAATCCACTTTCTTATATTCATTCTTTAAAAATATTAAACCTCAGAAGCAATTAACAGTTCTTGTTGGACAGTAGCCCCAGGTACCAGGCACATCCATTTGTGCTTCCTTCCTCTCCCAAATGGTAGTCCCACAATTCTTCACTGTCTTGGTAGCACTCTGATACTTCAAATGCTTTTTAAATCTATATACTTTTGTCCAACTTTTCTGTTCCCAGTGGTAAGGTGGTCTCAGCAACTTATTAGGAATTACCGGAAGACTAGAGACTTGCTTTTTAAATGCATACAATATAAGACAACTGTTCCTGTTTGTAAAAAGTCATTGCCATGGACAAAATATGGGGAGGAAACTCTTCTATATTAAAAGAGGCTTAAAAGTCATAACAACCTAATGCAATACATAGATTTTTATTGAGTCCCAGTTTAAATGAACTAGCTTATAAAAGACTTGAGAAGAAAGGAAACTTGAATATGAGTTTGGGTAATAGCTGACATCAGAAAATTTTTCACTGTGTTAGACAAGGTACTAACATTGTGGTTATATACAAAAATATACAAAATGTCATTTTTAGAACTGCATCCTGATGTATTAAGGTGGCATGTCAGGATGTCTAGCTAAAATAGGAAGAAAACATAGCAAAGTGTAAATGACAAATCTATATGGGCATTATTTTTTTTTACGTTTCTGTATATTTTAAATATTTCAGAATAAAGAAGTTTTAAATAACCACAGTGGATCAATTAAATTTTTTTTTACTTGTAGATGTACAAAATACCTTTATTTATTTATTTATTTTATGTGGTGCTGAGGATTGAACCCAGTGCCTCACATGTTCACTAAGGTGATTTAAATTTTAATAAATATTAAAATTTTAATATTTATTAAAATTTAAACCTATTAAAAATAAAATTTAAAATAAAAATTTAAAAATAAAATTTAAAATCTATTAAAATAAATTTTAATATTTATTAAAATTTAAATCACCTTAGTAGAATATCACTTTTCTAGTTAATTCTTTAACTGTCCTTTTCTTAAAATCTGATATCTCTACTACTGAGCTACAACCCCAGCCCCACAATGGATCAATTTTAATAAATATTTTTTAAAGAGTAATTTTTCTAGCTTTAATGTCTTATCTTTTTCTTTTTTGGAACTGGGAACTGAACCATAGGGGCACTTTACCACTGAGCCACGTCCCCAGCCCTTCTTATTTTTTTATTTAGAGGCAAGGTCTCACTAAGTTGCTTAGAGCCTCACAACTTAAGTTGCTGAGCCTGGGCCCAAACTTGTAATCCTCCTGTCTCAGCCTCCCAAGTTGCTGGGATTATAGTGTGTGCCACCATACTTGGCTCTAGCTTTAATTTATAAATCTTATATTATCTAATAATTACTGAGGAAATCAACTTAAACATCTATGTGAAGCTTAAAGTTTTCCCAAACTGGTTTAAACTTTTTTATAATTGTCATGATTTTAAATTGCTATATGTAGTGAATTAAATATTATAATAACAAATCAATATAAATGTAATGGCAAGTTGGAAATTCCTATGCATGGAATTTCAATGATTTTTAAATAACTGTAGACTAAAAATATACCAGAATTTTTTTCTGTTGTAATAACTTTCAGGCCACAGGAAAAATCCTATAAAATCCTTAAAAGTAGTTTACTACTATTTTTACAAGTTCTCAACAAATTAGGTGGAAAGATTGCTTCTGAGAAATCTCAAAAGGTTTTCTAGAGTATCAAAAAATGATGTACTTTGGGGTAGATTTTTACCACTGAAAAATATAAAATTTTTCTTAAGTAAAAATAAGGTATCTTATTATCACTTACACATTCCTTAAAGTTAGAGACAGTTTTCTAGTCCATTGCTACTTAAAATATCTCATCTAAGCTGGGCATATTGGCACTTACATGTAATCCCAGCAATTAGGGAGGCTGAGGCAGGATTGCAAGTTTGAGGCCAGCCTCTGCAACTTAGCAACACTCTCAAAATAAAACATTAAAAGGACTGGAGATGTAGCTCAGTGGTAGAGCACCCGTGGGTTGAATCCCCGGTAAACCCCCCAAACCTGCACCCCTCAAGACATCTCATCTATTATAATAAACAAATTATCCATACCAGATGAAAATGGAAGCCGTTGAAACTAATGGGAATGCAGCTTGCCCTGGTCAGGTAAGTTTTCCTGCTGTAGTTTTTGTAAATTATTTCAAGGTTAGGATAATGTTTCCTGATGTTTTCCATAATTAGTAATGAGTTACATCCCCGGTCCTTTTTATTTTGAGACAGGGTCTTGGTAAGTTGCTGAGGCTGGCCATGAACTTGTCACTTACTGACTTCTTATTTATTTTCAGTACTAGGGATTCAACTCAGGGCCTTGCACATACTAGGCAAGCAATCTACCACTTAGCTACATCCCCAGCCTGCCGATTTCTTATTCTTTATTTTTAAAAAAGTAAAGCACATTTTAAAGTCTATCTAAGTACATACTCAAAGCTTTTAAAGAATTGAGCCTGTTCTCTCTTTATTGTAGCTTCTTCCAGCAGAAATATCTTCGCTACATTCCTTCAACTCTTCACATGAAAAATCTTTAAACTATGTGCCCTGGAAAAAGGGATTTTTAAATATGGAAGCATTTTCAACTTTTGATAGCCTCACAAAATCAAAGTGGGATGAAAAACTCTTAAGTTGATGAGTATAATAAAGGAAATCAGTCTGGCTCTGTCCCAAAGTAATTATCGCGAGTCTTGTCTCTAGTTCTATTGTCATTCCATTCTCCTGTGGGCAGAGGTCTGACAAGAACTTGGGTTCTCATTCTTATTGCCAGCCCCAATGATTATAAAACTAGCTGGACAAACTTTTCCCTTTTGATGGTGTTCACTGCTTCAGTTGGAAGAGACAGAGCCTCTCCTGCTCATGGAAAGACTTTGTTTTCCCTCTATGGATTTATAATAGCCTAAGGGTAAAACTATACTGTAATGAACCATATGGTAAATGCTTTAGAGGAATACTTTTTAAACCTTAAAAGTGTGGTGCAGAAATTTCTAAGAAATAAATCCCCATCCAACTCTAAAACCCTAACTGGGTCAATTTATTTGGTAATCATTTAACTTTCAATACTTGCTCACTATGTCTGGAATCCCAATAAAAGTGACCTCACTATAATTCCTGCTTTGATTGGTGTAACTGGTGACACATTAAATGCAAGTTTCAACAACACAGTGTATCTCTATTAGAGATGTATCATTAAAGATCCAGGATTTAGCAAGAGGCTCTGTATTTTAGGAAAGCAATAGTAAGAATTTAAAGCATTTAAACTATAAACAACTGAGGTTTATTTTGTATGACCAGGAATTCTCAACTTGAAGCTCTATTATGGGTTGAACTGCATCCCCCAAAAAAGATTTGCTGAAGTCTTCACCCCCAATAATTAATTCAGAAAGTGATCTTATTTAGAAACAGAGTCTTTACAGAGGTAATTAAGTTAAAATGAGGTAACTATAGTGGGTTCAATTCTAATATGACAGGTGTTATATAAAAGCGAAATATATAGGCTGAGGTTGTGGCTCAGCGGTAGAGCACTTGCCTTGCACGTGCGAGACCCTGGGTTCAATCCACAGCACCACATAAAAATAAATAAGTGAAATAAAGATATTGTGTCCAACTACAACTAAAAATTAAATATTTTTTAAAAGGGAAATATGTATAGAGATACACATAGAAGACAATATGGAGAGACATAGGGAGACCCCCCCCCATGTGAAGACAAAAGATTGAAATGATGTATCTACAAGACTGTCAGCAGTTAGGAGACCTGGAGGAGATCCTTCCCTAGTACCTTCAGAGGGAGCATGGCTCCACCAACACCCTGATCTTGGACTTCTGGTCTCTTGAACTGTGAGACAATAGGTACCTGTTGTTTCCAGTTACCCGGTTTGCAGTCCTTGTTAAGGCAGTACCAGAAAACTAATATAACACCCTCCCAAAACTATACATTTTCTTCTTCATACATAGGAGGGTCTTTCATGACTGTTAATTTTTTATTTTATCTTTCATGTTTGAACATGGATTTGTAGGATCTTTTATAAGATCTTAAAAATCCTACGACTATTGATATTTTAAAAATTAATATCCATTTAACATTGATCCTGAATATATAAGAACAATGTCAATGATCCCCCAAGTTTCGTAGCAATGGACTCTATTTTCAGGTCAAATTAACATTAATAAGAAAGTCTGGGGCTGGAGTTGTGGCTCAGTGGTAGAGCACTTGCCTGGCATGTGAGGCCCTGGGTTTAATCCTTAGCACTGCATATAAATAAATAGGTAAGTAAAATTTAAAAAAAAAATGGAAGTCTGAAGCAACATCTTTATAGAGAGGAAATAAGAATACATAAAGATAAGAAATATGAATAGATTGGGTATTAAAATTCATTTAACTTTTTGTAAAGTTATAAGGTAATCAGTAAATGCAATTTGTTTTATTTGATTGATTGATTGATTGGTACTGGGGATTGAACCCAGGGGTGCTTTACACTGAGCTACATCCCCATTCCTTATTTTTTATTTTGAGACAGGGTCTTGCTAAGTTGCTGAAGCTGGCTTTGAATTTGCAATCCTCCTGCCTCAGTCCCCCAGTCACTAAGATTATAGGTGTGTGCCACCATGTCTGGCAAATACTTTTATTTTTGAAATTAGTATATTTAGTTCAATCAATGTTTCTTTTAAAGCATTCTCAAATATGTTAGCTTACTTTTTTGTTTTAAGTTTAATATTCACTAATCTCCTTTCTATCTAATTAAGAAACTTAGGTTTTAAAATTTCCCTATTATCTCCAACTGATCATTAAAATCATATCCCATATTCTTCATTTTTCTTCCACATAACTGTGACTTTCCATTTTCTTAGTTTCTGGCATAACATCTAGTACATAGGAAGTAGTATTTCTTCGATGTAAAAGCCAGATAGGAAACAAAATTTAGAAAAGAAATATAAGCATTCACAGTCCAAGGGCACATGGTTGGTATGTTTTTATGAGTTTTTGTAAAAGCACTTACTCTCACCATTAAAACTGACACTTGAGTGTTGATTCTCAAAAAACCACCTTATAAATATAAATTACTTTAGGAACCTCCAATAGAGCAGGGTTATTTTATCAGTTCAGTGAGGTTTCTCTCATGTACCTCTTCCAAGTGTTTCTTTCCTTGGAAATCAGCTACTTGATTTCTTTCCTTCTTTTATTTGTGGACCCAGAGGACTCCTTACCACTGGCCTACATCTTTTTTTTTCTTTTAATTTTGAGAAAGGGTCTCACTAATCTGCTGAGGCTGGCTTTGAACTTGTGATCCTCCTGCCTCACTCTACTGAGCCACTAGGGACACAAGTGTGCACCACTGCACCCAGCTCACTTCTCTTTTTTAAAATAAACTTTTCCTCTTAATTTTTACTTACATTTTACCTATTTATTTGTAGTACTGGGTATCAAACACAGGGCCTTGTGCATTAGGCAAGTACTCTGCTACTGAGCTATGTCTTCAGGACTGACTACTTTTATGTTGGAACTCTAGAGTCTCTTTTGTGAAGGGGCTCACCTGACTTAGGTCAGGGCCACCTTGGATCAACACTTTTTTCTTTTTTTAAAAGAGGGAGAAGGAGAGGGAGAGGGGGAGAGGTAGGGGGAGGTAGAGGGAATTTTTAATATTTATTTTTTAGTTTTTGGTAGATACAACATCTTTATTTTATTTTTATGTGGTGCTGAGGATGGAACCCAGCGCCCTGTGCATGCTAGGCAAGCACGCTACCACTTGAGCCACATCCCCAGCCCAGCATTTTTTTCTTTAACTTAAAATTAATCAACTAGGAATTTTACTTTTGTGTTCAAAATCTTTCACTCTTTCCATATGATGTGACCTGACCAAGGGAGTGTCATCCAATTGTATTCAATGGTCCCATCCATATTCCAAGGAAAAGGATAATTCAAGGGCATGTGGCACCAGCAAGTAGGAACCTTAGGGTTATGTTAGAATTGTGCACTACAAATGGTATGTCTTAGTACCATTTGTGAGCTGTACTTCTACTTGGCTCTTATAGTTTGTCTGGGTATTTTTTGCAATATTGTACTAGTAAATAGCCAGAGTTTTAAAATTGCATTTACTTTCAATAAAACTAGAATTCTACTAAATGTAATATTCACACAGAAGACTTTGAGATTTAAAAATCATAACTACTCTGGATTAACATTCTTACAATCCTTGTGCATGAAACACAAGAGTTTTGTTCTTTGTTTAAATGGGGCAACGATTAATGTGATTGAAGAGTAAAGTGTTTTATTCACAAGCTACATGGGGAAAATGAAGGTGGCTTGAGCCATTAAGTAAGTAGCACCTGTGAGAAAGGAAAGCAATATTTCTATCAGAATAAACATAAAAATCTTTATCCTTCCCATCCTTGTGGCAGTGCACTGTGTCACTGAACCAAATTTGATTACCACTGTCAATGCTAGAGACATTGGAAATGAGCAAGCCTGCCTATGTTTGGGTCTTTTAAGCTAACAGTCTGTGGCAGGGTCAAATGCTCCAGATCACACCACATAATCTATAATGTTTTAAAGGTGTTCAATCACCTCCCTAAAGAAAGGAATGAGAAGCAAAGAAATTTCAACACTTAGTAGTTTCTCCAGAAATATGTTAACACAGTAGCATTAATATTTTCTTTACTCAGGGGTAAAGATATTTTGTGTCTTTCAATATTTAAAAAAATTAGATGTTTTGCTTCCAATTTGATCAATAGAGAACTCCATGTACCTCCAAATTTTATTCATACTCATCCATTTTCACAGCAGAACCGACCAAAGTTTATTAAAATAAATCATTACAATTTTGTTTCAGTTTTTAAAAAGTGCAAATACATTAAAACTGTTAGTGTCATAAGATTGCAAACATTTGTCTTATGAAATTATAAAGATGTAAACCTGTTTAGTAAAAATTATGAAATCTCAATTCAGTTTTCACATATAAAAATATATTGTTTTATGAAACACTGAACAGTTAAGGCCACAACACTTTTTTTAAGAGTTTGAGATGTACATATTTTGAAACTGCTGTTAAAAATTAGCATAAATAAATATCAAAACTGGTCGTACTATTTAAACAGGTCCAAACATATTAACTTATATTTTTAAAAGTCTTTTATCAGAAAATTTCCTTCAGAAGTCATACCATTTTTTCAAGTATAAATTATGAATGTGCTCAGTGATCATGAAAACATAAATGTATATTTATAGTATTGTACAGGATTTTGACTTTGCCTCCATAGTTGGTGAAGTATCCTGAAGGTTTTGTCCCATGTGGTTCTGGCTTGCATCTTTCTTATTGCTTTGTAAAGTTATTTGATCTCCTATTGGTTTTATCTCTGGGAGTGGCTCGCTATTATTCTGTGTAATTTTCTGACCTGTCAATGACATCCGCTGAAAGAGGAAAATCTGGAAAAGACACACAACAAGATATTTCATTTCAGTAAGTCAACTGTTCACTTAGTATTGAGGGGTATCATTTTTTTTTGTGTGTGTGTGTGGTACTGACTGGGATTGAACCACTGAGCTACATCCCCCAAGCCTTGGTTTTTTGTTTTTGTTTTATTTTCAGACATGGTCTCACTAAATTTCCCAGGCTGGTCTTGAACTTGTGATCAGCTTCTCAAGTAGCTGAAATTACAGGCAGAGCCATGGCACCTGGCTAGGGGTATAATTTTTAACAAGTACAAACATGATTTTCTCACACCTTTATGGAGCTGTACATGTATAATGGTATGTTCTTAGCATCCATCTGTCTTTTCTCTTTTACCAAATTGCGGTCCAGATTCCACTCTAAAGCAAGACGTTTCAGGATTTAACATCTAACAACATTAGCATCTTGGTAATATATTATCATTTTTATTCAAAGGACACATTTAATATTTCATTTTGTTGCATTATAAGAGGAAAAAAGGAAAACAAGGATATCATTTATTATAATATTTAAACTTAACCAGGATGGGTTGTTTGGGGGCATTTCTTCCACTGCCAGTATATCACAGTTACATTGAATTTCTATTGTAATGTGGTGGTGAAGGAAGATATATTTCCCTATTCCTGTGGATCAGATCTTTTGGCAAAATGTTAGTGCTGCCAAATAATAGCAGTCTGCACCCTGTGGGACTGAATAGGCAGTAGGAATATAGAGATGCTGCTTAGGTGAGGCCAGGGCTGTACATATGCAGAATACTGATAAAATTCAGTAACCTAGGGATTCGTGGTATGCAGAAAAGAAAATATTAATAAAAGAGACTGAAGAGGAGCAAAATATGAGAGGCAAGCTGAGGGAGAGGAGCCAACATTGAGGATGGAGGTTTGTAGGAGCAAAACTGGGAAAATGAGGCAGCTTGGAAATCAGGGGAAGAAAATACAAGAAGGGAGTGGCCAACAGGCCTACATACAGGAGTGATCAAGCAAGATGATGACATAATTCACCTAATTTAGGCCCTTTGAAGATTTAGCCAGAGAGAAAGATAATAGCATTATTAAAGAGTTACAATACAAATAATGGTTCTGACAATATGCCAAAACCCGAAAAAGAGGAAATAAACACTAGATGAAAACTTGTCTCTTTCAGAAGCCAAAATGGTGACAATAATAGTAGCTAAACCTTTATCTTTAAAAATAGGAGAACTAACGTGAAAACTTGTAACCCCCAAAGTTTAGGGTCTATGAATGAAAATGGAGGCATTTGGAGGCATTTCTATTTTTGCTACATTGGAAGAATACACATCTTGAAAAATTCTGCCACCACTAAATACCAAGAAATGCTAAGTATAAAAAGTAGAGTTTTATAATGTGTGAGTAATCTCTGAAAAAAATTAAAGGAAATCCCCTGTGGATGAAAAAATAAGGAAGGAGCTTCAAAAAGCCTCAGAGGTGAGTATTGACATAGTTTGATCTCATAATAGACTCTTGCTCGGGTTTTAATCTCACAAAATGTGGGAAATTGGAGCTGAGACCCCTAAATAATGTGGGTGTCCTCTAAGGACTATGTCTTTAACATAAGGCCACAAACATTGGGGGATAACAAAATGTCTCTTTTGGCCTGGCATTTGAGTGAAGAAGAAAAATGTTTGGTTGAGGTAAGTTTGAGGTTCATATTACCACTGTGAGTGAGTGACCCTTAACACTTAGGTGCTTCAGAACAGACTAATAAACATTCTCTATGGATAGACTCACTTTAATCTGACTTTTATAGGATTTCCACAAAACCTGATTAAACATGAACTTATAATCCAAATTCCAAAACACATATGGAAATAAGTCATCACTAGCAAGTCAGCCAAAGCAACAAACAAATTTCAATCTTAAGGATGAATGACATTGGAATTAAGAAACAGTACGCTTAAATTATTTAAAGCACAAAACAAGATGCTAATTTTTAAGATAAGATTGGTAAGAGAAACTATGGAATCAATAAGAACCCTGAAATTACCCAGAATATCACTTAGATATAGAAAATATGAAACTGACATTGAAAGATATGGACAAGGGCTAAGAATGTAGCTCAGTGGTTGAATGCATGTCTAGTATGAGGGAAGCCCTGGGTTCAATTCCCCAGTACCCCCCAAAACAAAACAAAAAAACCCTAAACAAACCATAAAAGACATGAATAACAGAATGAAAAGTTTTATATCAGAGTTTGAAGAGGAAGAGAGGAAAGAATCAAATATATAATGGATGAGAATTTTAAAAACCATGAAAAATGTTATAAATTCTCAGAGTTAAGAGTAATAAAAATTTCAAGAAAGTTAAAATGAAAAAAAATTACACCTAGGTAACTCATTGTGAACTGAAATATATCAAAGAATCTAAAAAACCAGCCAGGGAGGGGCTGGGGTTGTGGCTCAGAGGTAGAGCACCTGCCTTACAGGTGCAAGGGCCTGGGTTCGATCTTCAGCACCACATAAAAATAAATAAATTAAAAATAAAGGCAGGAAGAAAAGATTAACATTAAACAGATACATGAGGTGGGATGGAAAGGGAGAGAAAAGGGAAATTGCATGGTAATGGAGGGAGACCCTCATTGTTATACAAAATTACATATAAGAGGTTGTGAGGGGAATGGGAAAATAAACAAGGAGAGATATGAATTACAGTGGATGGGGTAGAGAGAGAAGATGGGAGGGGAGGGAGGGGGGATAGTAGAGGATAGGAAAGGTAGCAGAATACAACAGTTACTAATAGGGCATTATGTAAAAATGTGGATGTGTAACCGATGTGATTCTGCAATCTGTATTTGGGGTAAAATTGGGAGTTCATAACCAACTTGAATCTAATGTATGCAATATGATATGTCAAGAGCTTTATAATGTTTTGAACAACCAATAAAAAAAAATTAAAAAAATAAAAAAATAAATAAAAAAAAATAAAGGTATTGTGTCCAACTACAACTAAAAAGTGATTTTTTTTTAAAAAGCAGCCAATGAAATGACAGACTACATACAAAGTTATCAGCAATTACATTAAAGCAATATTCTTAACAATGGAAGCAAACACTAAGGAAAAATAACTGCCAACTAGTCATTCTATCATTCAAGAACTATGGTAAAATAAAGATGTTTTCAAATGAACAGAAACTCAAAGTATGAACTACCAAGAGACACCTATGACAACAGCTTCCAAAGGATTTCTTCAGGAAGAATAATAAGGGTGCCAGAAAGGACATTGGAGATGAAAAAAGAAATGGTGAGTAAAGCCAAGTAGTAGAGAAGACAAATAATAACTTGATTTGTGAAATGAAAAAAATTAAAACAGGGTATGATATGACAACTTGTAAAATGGGAAGGAAGAGGTGATAGGAAAGAAAACTATTCTAAGATCCTATCTTTCAGAAAAAAGATAGGAACTCCGATTAGTTTTAGATTTTAGGTAGGCATGTCAAAAATTTCAAAGACAAAATCCAGCTGTATAGGTCATTTACAAGGTATCTAAAACACAAGTAAAAGGTGGAAAGAAGATCTATCAAGCAGATGCTAACTAAAGGAAAGATATTTTATTAATATGTAAAACATCAACCTGAAATTCTTCACATATTTTTGGGACATAAAAACTTATATTAAGATAGTTAAGGGGGGGCTGGGATTGTGGCTCAGTGGTAGAGCACTTGCCTAGCATGTGTGAGGCCCTGGGTTCGATCCTCAGCACCACATAAAAATAAATAAATAAATAAAGATATATTGTGTCCAACTACAGTTAAAAAAAAATAAATGTTGTGGATCACCATATGAAAAGCAAAAGGGGCAATTTGATACTTGGGTCTTAACACTACAATGGAAAATTCATTTCACTCACCTTTTTGGTTTTTTTAGTATCCTTATTTGGTGTTGATTCACTAACTTCCGAAGCTTCTGAAAAACTGCTCTTTGCACGATCATACACGCATCCTACAATTGAATACAGTTAAAAATATTGTTCCAACTGATGAGGAAAAGAAAAAAGCTGTTTACTTCAGCAAACTCTATTGACCTTGACTTATAGGGTAATATAAAAAAAAAGCTCACCACTGGACAATGTCTATATAGTTGTAGTTCCTAAAAAGGTGAGTTAAGGTTAAATGCCCAGAATGACCTGACCAGTATTGAAATGTTTCAGTGATCTGTATCTAAATATAGTCACAAAGGTAATAGAAAAAGTTAGAGAAGACTTCTGTAAAAACATAAATCACTTTTTAAAACTTAGCCTAGTTATATTTAGATTCTTTGTACTCAAATGGACGTGTTATTTTAGGGTGTTTCAAATTTTCAAATTAATCCACATATTATGTGGTTGAATAACAATCTTTAAAGTACACTTATAAAGCATGCTAATATTTTAACATTATAGACTTCTTACAGCTTATATTTAATTTCTTTTCTTTTTTGGGAGGATAACAGGGATTGAACTCAGGGGCACTCGACCACTGAAACACATCCCCAGCCCTATTTTTTTTTTTTTTTTTTTTAATTTAAAGACTTTAGCATCTCACTTTTGCTGAGACTTACATTGAACTAGTGATCCTCCTGCCTCAGCTTCCTGAGCCGCCAGGATTACAGGCATGCACCACTGCGCCTGGCTTAATTTCTTTTTGACACTATTGGCTATATGCTAAAAATATTTAAGAGGTGATAAATACTTTAACATTTTGCTTAAAATATTCTAAAACTTACTACTCTTTTTGTAGAAGTTAGAAGGACAAAAGGATTTAAAAAACCCTATTCCTTCCCTTGCTTAAGTTTAGATCAGATAGGCAGTATTACGGACAGGTTTTTTTTTTTTTTTTAAACTGATTGACTAATTGTGATACTGGGGATGGCATCCAGGGCCTTGAGCATACTATGCAAGCACTCTACCACTGACCCATATCCCCAGCCCATGCACAGTTATATTTAATGAGAACATGATTAAAATCACACCCTGGTGTAGGGGTATTAAAACATAATGTAGGGACCATGAAGCAAAATCACAGATGATTTGGGTCTAGAAAATGTAGGTCTTTTTTTTTTTTTAGTCTAATTTTTAAACTTTATTTAAAAAGCTAGAAAAGTTATTTTCAACACATTTCTCCACATATAATAACAGGGCAAGGAAGTAGTATGCTAAAAGAACAAGCTTAGATAATTTTATTATTTTAATGTTGGATCTGTTGAATTTTTTTAAAAAAAAGTACCAGTAATACAAATAGCATTAATGAAGATTTCTTTCATCACATTGTTTTGATAATATTATTAATATAAGTGTATGTTGCATCCTTCACAATTATAAACTACTTATATATATTTTGCTTTTTATTCCTACCATAAATCTGTGCATGTTTCTCACTTAAAAGGAGGAAACTACAATGATTCACAATGATTTCCAGTGTTCTTCATTATTATTGGTACCTTAATACTGAGGGATAATTTGAGGTTTTGTAGAAAATAGGGCAAGATGTAATGTTTGTTTTTTCTACTGGAGGAAAAAAAAAGCATGATACCTTTATCAGAAGTGAGAATAATCCTGGATTTTTTTTTTTCAGGTGCTGGGGATCAAACCCAGGGCCTTGCCCAGCCTAAGCATATCCTCTGCCACTGAACCATATCTCCAGCCCTGCTCTGATATTTTTTAAAGTACCATACTGATACAATATTTCACTACTATCAGTAAAATATTAATTACAACATGCTTCACAGTTAAAGGCTAAAGCTAAAATCTTCTGCTCTATACCATCTCCAATTTCTTTTTTCTTTTTTTTTAAATTTTTTATTGTTGGTTGTTCAAAACATTACAAATTTCTTGATATATCATATTTCACACTTTGATTCAAGTGGGTTATGAACTCCCATTTTTACCCCATATACAGATTGCAGAATCACATCAGTTACACATCCATTGATTTACATATTGCCATACTAGTGTCTGTTGTGTTCTGCTGCCTTTCCTATCCTCTACTATCCCCCCTTCCCTCCCCTCCCCTCCCCTCTTCTCTTCTCTCTCTACCCCCTCTACTGTCATTCATTTCTCCCCCTTGTATTATTTTTCCCTTTCCCCTCACTTCCTCTTGTATGTACTTTTGTATAACCCTGAGGGTCTCCTTCCATTTCCATGCAATTTCCCTTCTCTCTCCCTTTCCCTCCCACCTCTCATCCCTGTTTAATGTTAATCTTCTTCTCCTGCTCTTCGTCCCTACTCTATTCTTAGTTACTCTCCTTATATCAAAGAAGACATTTGGCATTTGTTTTTTAGGGATTGGTTAGCTTCACTTAGCATAATCTGCTCTAATGCCATCCATTTCCCTGCAAATTCTATGATTTTGTCATTTTTTAATGCAGAGTAATACTCCATTGTGTATAAATGCCACATTTTTTTTATCCATTCGTCTATTGAAGGGCATCTAGGTTGGTTCCACAGTCTTGCTATTGTGAATTGTGGGTCAAGAAAATGTAGGTCTTGAGGGCGGTGACAATCTGCTCTATTCTGTGGCACCTGTTCTCTAATGCCAATAGCCTGGCTTGGGAAAGGACTTCTTTTCAATGCTCATGAAAGGTCAGAGACTCAGGTCTGGACCCCGGGCGGAATAACTGAATGGCCACAGGGACTCTTGGCCAACAGAACATGGGTAAAGAGATCCACAGTGCTCACCATAGATATAAACTGGGATTTGGGGCAAAATCTCAACTTAATAATACTGATTGAGTTGGAAAAAAATAGGGAGTAAAAAAAGCTGTCCTAAATCCCTGAACACTGACACATGAATACACACGAGTACAGTGAATATCTGCATATGAAAGAGCTGTGGTAGTTATAAATGAGAACAGATAAGGGTGTGTTACATATTTCATAACTTGCTATGAGGGTCCTCTGACATAGAAATATAAAAAGCGGGGGCTGGGGTTTTGGCTCAGTGGTAGAGCGCTTGTCTAGCACGTGCGAGGTACTGAGTTTGGTCCTCATAAAAATTAGTAAAATAAAGGCATGTGTCCAACTACAACTGAAAAAAAATTTAAAAAAAGGAATGTATGTATTATAGTACTCAATCATGGTGCATGCGCAAGCACACACACACATACATGTTCATATGTATGTATGTTATGTATCTAGATTTTTTAAAATTATGCTTTTGAAGTGAAGTATGCTCATACCTTTTGGATTTTCATTGTATTCACGAATGGCCCGTTCCTCTAGGTTGACTTTTTTCTCCTATAAATAACAAAGAAACATATGACAAAAAACATTTATGTGGTGGTAGAAAACTTAGTCTTAGTTTTAAAGCAGGGTTCCAGAGCAAGCCTTTATAATGACTTAAATGTGTGACAATCACTTAACTTTACTGGGCTCTTGTAAAATGGGGCGTTTTAGATGTTAACTGCTAATATCCTCCTAGCTCATAACTGTATGATATACATATATATATGGATATATATTTATATATATCATACCTACATATATCATACTATATATTATATATAATTATATAGCATATATATTATATACATTACATACATATAATATATATGCTATACAATTAAAGAATTCTCAAAGAAGATTCAGGAATACCAATTGGTATATGACTTGTCTTAATACTTTAAAATGTCAAATTGGTGTTTAATGATTCTACATTAAAAACTTTTAGGGACCATCCTAACTTGAACTCATAAATGTTCTCTATGAACAGAATCATTTTCCCCTTCTGAAAGAAAACAAATAACTGCTAGAACATTTTTTTTTTCCTCAGTGTGAGGAAGGAGTCTTAGAAAAAGAAGGAACCAATGAAGAGAATGACCTCTGTAGAACAGTGATATTTTGTTAAGTTAAAAGTACATGCATATAAAACAAGGCATGTTTCACAACTACACATTCAAATAAAGGACAGATATGATTCAGTAGTTGTCTACATTAGGGAAAAGGGAGACAGGCAGAGGCCTAAAAGGGAATGAATTTAAATAAGAGAGAAGACCTTGGGTACAGAGCAAGGATGAGAGTGTTTCAGCTATAGGCAAGACTAACTCATGTTCTTCATGAGAGTCCCAAAAGAGCAAATGAATTAATACAATTTCATTTAGTTTTGGGTTTCAGAATTCTGTGCCTCTGAAATGAATCCACAGTACTGTTAGCAAAACAAATGATTTCAAACTTACCAACTGTCTCCTAGCAAGGTCATTCTCAGACAAAACCACCAAATGCAGATTATATTTTTGGAATTTCTAGTTCCACTTTCAGGATAGTCTTTGTTTCCTCAGTGATTCTCCCTCTTATTTCTCCTACATATACTTTTGTCTAGAGTGCATCTAAGGAAGAACTGATCGCAACCTCAGATACTGCTGTGACCAACTTTCTTTGCCTATATACATATACGTGTGTGTGTGTGTGTGTGTGTGTATATGTATATATATGTATATATATATGTATGTATGTGTGTGTATATATATATATATATATATATATATATATATATATATATATATATTTATCTCCCATTTCTGCCACCAGCACGAGGCTCCTAACTTTGCATTTCAGACTGGGTGCCCAACTTTTTGGTTCACTTCCCAACAATGTACTATTGTGGCCCATACAAATTTATTTCCACTCATGTAGGGAACAGAATGCAAATATGCTCTAGATGTTTGCTTGACTCATAAACTAGCCAAAGCCTTTTCCTGGCACATAAATGAAGTTATTCACAGAACTATTTCTGTTCCCAAAGGAAACTGTAATCTTCCCTCTGCAGGGACCAGAGGACCCCCATGCTTCTCTTTGGCATGATCTCAGGACTTAAGCATCCATCATCATACCTCTGTATCAACTGCAGCTGGGCTGTCATGGATACTGTTCAACTTCTCTGTTTCACCATGGTCATCTGCAGAAACACTCTCATCACTTCCTACAGATTTCTTTTCTTCCGTCAGATATTTGTCATTAATATCCTTATTAATGTCTTCTGATTCTGTTTCAGTTTCTGAAGATTCCTCATTCTGTGACAAAATTGATCATCAGAGAAGAGTAAGAATTTCTTTTTTAAAAATTAGAGATTTGATACAGCTGTCATAAATAATTCATACCACCTAAAAGAACATGTAGCAAATAAAATCACATACAGAAGCTGAAAAAATAAAATACTGTATAATCCATGATGAATATCAAGTTACTGTATTTTATGCATGCTTCTCTATTTCAATTACTAAGATTCCCAAAATTCTATTAGTACCTATGGCAAGGTTAAAATGGGAAAAAATGAAATTCATTTTCTTAACTGTCTCCAGAGTGCTTTTAAACTTGGGAAGTTAAAAAGCTTTTTATTTACTATAGCAGCATAACATTATTATGTTCATTTTCTAAGACATAGGGATTTAGAATTCCTCCAGTGGTCCAATTCACTGATATTCCATAAGAGAGGCAAGTATAACTATTTACATTTCAGGCAAAAAGATAAAAGGACATAGTTTAAATGCTTTGCTCTTGGTTATTAAAAACAAAGGGAAACCCAACTGGAGACAGAATTTGGTTTATCTGGCTACTATTCACCCAATCCAAATTATAAAACACCCAGTGCAAGGATCAAACAGATGGTTAATAAATCATATAATGATATTAAGAAAAGACATAAAATATTAATTGTAGTCTTTGTTCTATACTGAACAGGTTAGGTAGGGTTAACCATGAGGTAGATACCACTTACCAAAGACTTCTAAAACTTTTTTTCTGCATGCTTTCCCTCTAAGTGTATTATATGGTATATTATGCCTAGCCATATACACATTGTGGGTAGTTAACATTATCAGGGACAACTTCACTTTGAAAGGGAATAAGAAGCAAGGCTACTAGATCAAAGGGTAATGGGTGATAAATAGATATATTCATAAATATATATAAATGAAAGGCTAACTAGAAATAACAGTGCTCCTGAGAAATAGAATTCCAGGCTATGCCCCCCATGCCTCCACCCCCATCTCACAGAGGGAGGGTCAGTGAGCAGTGTTCCCAGAATAATCCTCACCTGGAGAGTCCGGCTAATCTAGCACCTGGGTCAACTCCAATCAGGCTTGTTAATTAAGGTATTAATGTCATCATAGGATAAGAGCATGCTATTATAAAAAGGGATTTGGAGTTTTACCTTATTTAAAAATAAGCAAAACACAGCATCTGTTATAATGAATTACAATCTTACTCATTAACTAAGAAAATCTATAATAATAAAACTTTTGGAACTGCATCATTTTCTAAAATTTGAGAAAGCTATTAGAAAATGACATTGTTCACTAAAAATTACATCAATTGTAAGACTTTGAGCTTACTAAGCACATTTAAATTATTCTATACACATCTGGACAACTAGTTTAAATCACAGAAAGCACTTTACCTTCAAACTGAAACAATTTAGGAGAGATTGGCAGAATACTGTCATTTTATAAAAAGAAAGGGTGAAGTTTAAGCACATTCTTGGCACTAGAACCATATAAGGCATGTAAGGTAGTCTGAAATGGTCAAGTATGTGTCTTATGTTAGGACATCAGTAAAGAAGCAAGTGGGCCTTGACATCTTGGTTCAGACACAGCACAATGAGCTGAAGTCTTTGGTGTGGTTCCAGGTAACATTTAAAAAAATATTTCTGATGGAGATTATCAAGAAAGCCAACATTCCTTATAAGTTTCAGTTTGTATAAGAATATAATTACAGGGCTCGGGGTGTAGCTCAGTGGTAGAGTGCTTGCCTAGCATATGTGAGGACCTGGGTTCAATTACCTGTATTTTTAAATACCAGGACATTAAAAAATCTACATTGCATATTTTAAGAACTAGAGATTGGTGTCAGAAATCAGCATAGTGGTTACCCTTGTGGGGGGGGAATGGTAAAAGACTGGAAGGGAGCTTCTGGGGAGTTGATAGTATGCTTTTTCTTGATTTGGATGCTGATTAGTTTGTAACGTGTGTTCAGTTTGTGAAAAATACATTGAACTATGTATGTATGGGATATGCATTTTGTGTATAGTATAGTTTTATACAGTTAAAAGAACCCTAAATTCCACAAAATTATAAAGCATAAAATTCTGTGCTATAATTCTGTATTTGTGATATGCTTCCATGTCACTCAGTGAACTTTTTCCAAATAGGTTATTATAGCCCTAAACATTTGCATCTTAAGTTATATCTGTCAGGAAAATGTCTTTATTTTTAAACTTTAAGTTCAGGGTTTTTTTAAGGATAAGTTTTGTTTTTTTCTTTGTGTGTTTGGGTGTGTGTCTGTATGGCACTGGGGACTGAACCAGGGCCTTGTGCATGCTAGGCACATGCTCTACCACTGAGTTACACCCCAAGCCTTCATGTTTTAACTACACTAGAAATTACTAAGGTAGTAGTGAGGAAGTAGGAAGGACATTAAATACAAAGGTTTAAGCACTGTTTTCTAAGCCTTATTCTATCACTCACGGCCTCAGCATGACACCTAATCAATGTACTTTACAGGCTATCTGTAAAATGGGAAAATAACATTAGCAACACCTTATTCGGAGTGTTTGCGTAAAGATTAAAAAGACTACTTACACAAAAATAACATGAGTAAATAGTGTATATATTGTACATAAATATTAGTTATTTTATACAGGTCCCTCCATAAAGAATATTTCTAGTGTGCACTGAGGACTGGCAAAAAATAAGAAAGTTGGACATTTTTTTCCCTTATGTCCTAGATCTTGTCATTAGAAAATAGTTTATTTAAAGTACCCTTATATTTATTCTACCCTCATCCATACATCCTTTTCTTCTGAGCCAGGAGTCCTGCAGCTAAGCATATGAGAAGGCAGCTGCATACCTGTTAGAAGTATCCATGGGACCTTAGCAAATTGGGGGTGTGTCAGTCTTGACTCTACTTCAGGCTAGGGTTGCCCCAGAGAATGATGCTCCTAGGCACTCAGTCTTTCCAAGTGAAGTCCAACCAATATTTCAACATTGGCAACCAATCCAAATTTTTTAAAAAATCACTGTGTACATAGGGCAGATCACACTCATGGGCTACCAGTTGTGACTTCCAAATTCTTGTCTTGATACCATTTTAAAATCTCTTAAGTCTTCCTTCTTTCTAGGCACCAATCTCTTATTCCATTCTTAATTCTGTATTTTAATTGCTGAATGTATTGTAATTTAACTCTGAAAGATACAGATCTTCCTGCTGATTGGCATTTTCAGATTTATTCTTTATTTCCCTCTCTTTTTCTTTAGACAATTTATTTCCTTTTTGTATCTTAGACAAATATATGATGCATGATCATACTTTCTGTGCTAATTACTTTATATAATTTGACAATAATGTTGGTACACAGGAAAATCTGTTGTGTGACAGCACTAACACCTACATTTTAGGTTAACCACTCGAGTGTGATCAGCCTTTCACTGCACTTCAAACATGGAGGGGGACCCATGTAATGGTGTATAAAAGTAGTTTCACTCCACTTCTTGCTAAAGGGTTATCAATATTATAATCTAATTTATTCCCAAAGATCTATTCCCATAAGTCATTTTTGGTTGGTATATTGTATTTAAACAAAAGCCAAGTTCATAGGACTAAACTCATGCACATCAGTCAGTGACTTGAAAATTCCTGACTGTACCTTTGTGTGTGACTTGGTGTGATCAGAAACGATAATTACAGTGATACAGAATACTATTGCTGAGCGCCCATAACATACTTCATGTACTAAGTACTTTGATCAAAGGACCCCTCCTTTATTAAAAGGGAAATAAGACTCAGAAAGGTAAACAAAACAATAACTAGAAACCTTTTCCAGGGACGCAGGGCTAATCAGTGGAAGGCTGAGATTTGAATTCAGGTCTGGACCCTAGAACCCATATTATTTCCCAACTCTTCCCAAATAATTTGAAGATCATATGGGCTGCCCTCACAACTATTTTTCCCCTCCAACACTGATATTTAAAGTATCACAGACTCTTCTTGTGGTTCATAAGATCCTGCCAATAACATTCTTATGTACCACTGTACATATTATTAAACAAAAATTTAGAATATTTTCCTCAAAGTATCCAAGACTTCAGAATATATATTTCCCTTTCTAAACTGAGAAATATGCCAGGAGCACTCTATGCCTGATATTTATATTTTTAAGTTTAGAACTGATTCCATTCCTTGCAAATGTCCCTGTCTTCATCCTCCCTATCTTATTCCAGGCCCTCTTCATTCTTTGTCTGGTTACAACAACTGCCTCTTAACTGGGACTCCCAACTCATCCTGTCCTCTTCAAATCCATCTTCCATATTGCTACTAGAATGATCACACAAAAAACCTTTAACATCTTGGTTAACAAACATATCAGGCCCTTTGCCTCTCTATTTCTAAGACCAAAGTATACCCTAGGCTGTCATTACTTCAAACATTCTCATGACTCTCATCAGCCTGGAAAGTCCTCATATCTCCTTGACTTGTTTACCTGATTGTTTTATTTGACATGACTCAGTTCAAGTTTTCCCACTTGTTCCTAGGAAGCTCTTTCTTAACCATTGTCTAGCAGCTGAACTTCCATGCCAAACACTAAGTTCCCATTCAGACTACAGAGTTCCTTGAGATCAGGAACCACATCTTACTCCCTGCATACCCAAAACATGAAAACCTTTTCTTCTTACTCATTAAGTAATTTAATGGAAGAAAAAAGTCATAGAGTTGTTTTGGGGGTCATATTTTTGTCTGGGCAGTCCTGGCAAAGAACACAGGGGTACCGGGAAACAAATAGCACAGTTAAGAAACAGTTAAGGCAGAGCTGCCTTGGTGTTCCCTGATGTCTTTTGGAGAAATATATACCTAAAGTCCCCGAGAGCTAAGAGGGCCACAAGAGGTGGATTGTAAACTGTTCTCACTTTTTGAGATTGACCTGACTTGGGGAAACTTCCGTTGCTTTTTGGTGTTTGGTACATAAGTATTTGTTGAATGAATAATAGGTACCAAATATTAAGCCATGATTCAGGTACTGGAACTGAATTTGCACAATGAAAAGAATAAAGGAAGGAACTACAGCACCTTCTTCTGGGTGCACATTTTATTTTTTATATACACATGAAGAGCAGTTTATCTCTATCATGAATTAACAAAAGACATTTCAATTGCACTCACCTCAAGTGCTGCTGTT